TAAATAAATAAACAAAATGAGAAAGAGTATACAGATTATTATCAAATTTTTATTGTTTAAAATCATTAATTGTCATATATCTATTTTAATTATATTAGGTAATTCCGTATGTTTTATTTAAGGAAAGCATGCGAAACAATAAATATTTGTTATATGTGACCAACTATAACCTACAAAATATTATATTGCTAGAGAGTATAAATTTTAGACTATACATTATATCATATGCTCTAGAATCCTTGGAATTTGAAATAGAAGCCAAAGAGCTATGCCACATAGGATTGGGGTTATTTTTAATTCTTACAAACTTAAGGTTACAACTTTTTAAATGATTCTCAAATAATATATAGGGGATGTACAAAGGATGCTACATAATCATGGAAAACTCAATATAAAACATTAATTTAATATACGAAATTCGTCGTTGTCACAATTTTATTATGTGATAACAAGAAATGCTGTCATGAATCTAAAAACATCCATATCAAGAAGGAAAAAACTAACATAATTGTATACTATAGATCAAAACGGTCCAAACATTCCTATTTGATACAGACTTATAGTACTTGACACATCTAGTATAGATCAACGATATACACGTTTCATACACATGTAGTTTCATCACGCCACGTGTAACTCGGTGGTCTTGACGAGGATCTCCCATAGCCGTTGGATCTCCGAGAAGACATCGTCGGTGGGAAGCTGAAACCTACAGAAAGGACACGTGTTCCTCTTACTAAGCCACGGCAAGATACACTTCCAATGAAACAAATGCTGACATGGCATTTCACAAACATCTCTTCCTTCACTCATCTCTTCCTTGCAAATCACGCATTCTACTTCTCCGGCGTTGTTCACCACGTCAACCGCACGTAACGCCACCACGGCCGCTCTAGCCGCCGGGATTTCGTATCCTTCTTTCTCTCCTCGTAGACGAAGGTGGTTGTAGCCTCCCATTATGTCTACGAATCTTTTGCATCTAACTAGGGTTTCTATGTAAGGCATCAAGATTCCGGCGTCGCACGTCCATAGACCGGAGATACTGTTTAACATAGTATCAGAGCACATAGCACCGAGGATTTCGCGCCAGTTATCAGCTGAAGCTTCTAAAACATCTGGATCCAGCTGATGTGTTTCGCAGAGAAAGAGGAGGAGCACCACCGCGTCGAGGTCCCGGAGCTTCATAACGGCGGAAGAGGAGGGTAGAGAGTGGTGGTTGCGGTGGAGTAAGAGAGGGTGGAGAAGAGAAAGGAGGTGAGTAGCGATGAGGAGTGTTTTCTGAGGAAGGGAGAGTGAAAGAAGGTGGCGGAGAGTGAGGGAGAAAAGCGTCGGAGAGGAGAGGACGGAGGCGAGACGACGGCGATGGTGGTGGGAGAGAGAAAGAATGGTGTGAGTAAGATTGGTGAGGTGTGAAGGGGGGAGAGTAGAGAGTGACGTCATGATGATTGTTGTGCTTTCTTCTTCCATATTGGATCTTGTGTGTTGCTTCGTTTTCTTACAGCACTTTTAACCTTTTGATGAATCTTTGCTTATATACATGTATGAAGTCATTGTGAATTTGGTGGTGGTTATAATAAACTATTGTGATATTTTTATTAGGGAAAAAAACAAAAGGGTGTGGTACAAAAGAGACTATTGTCGGCTTTGCTTGTTTCGGTTTTCGATTTTTAATTGATTGATATGCCAATATGGAATTTGGAGAATAAAGGTGAAGAGGCATATGAATGGAGAAGAGTTGGCAAAAGTTCACTTTAGTAACTGTTGGTGACAGGCATAATTAGCTTGCAGACTTTATCCCAAAAACAAATATTTCATAAACACTATAACAAATCACTTAAATGATATTGTGCAACTAATTACGTTTACTATGAATGATCCATGAAAAGTTGGTCATGTGGAACTAGTGGAGCAGACAGAGTGTGTGGAGTAGAGTAAGAATTTAGATAGGTTTTGTATAAATCTACTTGTCCTTGTGGAGTTTTATCAACATATCATATCATGCAATACCAAATGTTCCGATAAGATCATATACCAGACTCGTGTTGCAGTTTAGGACAAATAGATCATCCTGTTGGTGTAAATGACAAAACAAAAACAACAAGAGGAAGGTTGTCAAAACAATACATAAGAATTTCAAGAACAAAAGGTTTGGCTAAATCCACGGCGCCTTCCACTTTTTAATTGTTGTATTCAAGGAACAGTGTAGAAAGATTAATAATTCACATGACCACACCAATTCACAACTCTAGTCTCTATGCATTTGTCCCGGTGTGTTGTCCATGCTTTTACAAACTCTCATGTCTCTCTAATCCCAAAGAAAATTCGGTGGAGATCAAATTATCAAAAACTTCTTTACAGTTGTACCCCCTCAAAAAACAACTTACCAATCTCTAACACGAATCTAAGCTCAATGATGAAACTTATCGAGGTTCCAAAATCTAGCTTCGAGAGTTAACCAACTATCGAAATATTACTCATCATAAGCATATCAGATGACTTGTAAGTTTATAAATATCAAACAATGCATTAAAGCTGTCAGATCTTCCACATAACCGATGGAACTCATGAGGGAAGTTCGATAACAGTGTAAAGATATGATAGCATGATGCTTAATTTACAAGCAAAGATGACCCACTATAGAAAAGCAAGTGAACATAATATTATTCTAGTCTGGTCGATTTCTATGGCCCTGGTGAAAAGTGTACCCCACGAAGCCCTTATAGTACAAAGTTATTCACTTTCTAAAAGCAAAGATGGATCACTTCATCACATGGGCATCCAAAGTTAGTCAATTACAAGGAAGAAAAAAAAAGAAACATCACATGCAGTAGCTGAAAGCTGCTTATATGAGATTTTCTTCTTCTGCTTAGACACTAAGAATTTTTATTTTATTTGTGAACATCCAAATGAACCAGAGAAAACAGACAACTGTAATTTCAGAATCATGGAGTTTGCAGATAAAATCTCATACAATCAAATTGACCTTAGACCATCCAAACAGGAAAGACACAGGATTTCTTTCCATTGGAATAAACCATGAGAATGAAAAGGGAACTAAGAAATTACTGAAGAACTTGCAACGTGATTCGTTGGTTGAGAAGAAAATTCCTGTTCTTTGTAATGTATGCATTCATCGCCTGGGTTTGTGATGTGAAACGCACCAGTGCCACCCTCTTAGGCCTTCCGAGTCCTTGACTGCATGGTCAATAAAGGCATTCAAAATAGTTCCATGTCCTTATTATTTAACAAATCCAGAAATTTCTGAACAAACACAATGATCGGGCACAAAGATCTCTAGGTATGGTGAATCAAACAAGATGACAAAAAAAAAAAGAAGTAAAGACGGTCAGGAGATAGGTGCTATCACTCCGTCTTAATTAATTCCCAGAAAATTGGTGTGTTTTTCATCTTATAGGTTTACTAATAATTCACATGTATATTTCTTATTCTAGTAAGGGATTTAACCCCAAGTGTCAGAAAAAGTATTGTAGTTGATTAATTATACAGGAGATATAGCACTGTGTTTACTACGAGTCCAACTAATATCTAATCGAGTGATCAAGTAAAGGCCAACACATGGTATTAAGACACATAAGATAGGAATAAGTAATGACTCACATGGTGAGGAACTGGATGGATCCAGGATGATAGAGACAGCCGGATAAGAACCTATCTATGTCTTCTATTATAGCATTTGGCGGAAGCCCATGTAGTGCAACCTAAAACAATATACAATCATATCAACTGTCTGAAATACATGACCTCGATAGTTACATTGAGGATAAACAGAAAACATAGCTTACCACTTTGCCTTCATAAGGAACAATGGGATCCCACTGAGACTGAGTAGCCTAATCATTTTCAAGAAATCAGGTTAACCAGCTGCATATAAATAGGGGCTACTCTATCGTTTGTCAAAAGGATTACCCTTTCTAATCTATAAAGCCTTCCCTTCTTCGCAATTGCCCTCATTGCACTATCATACGATGAACGGGAAGGGAACTGCACATAACTGAAACACCAAACATTTGTTTAAGAACAATGAAAGATCTAAAAGCAAACGAATTTACTAATTCCAAGAATATCACAACAAGGAGAAGTATTAAGCTAAGCTATTATAAACTCACACTCCAGCAGGATTCAAGTTACCACCACGCATGTAGCTGAATCTGAGATCATCTGGTGTCACACTGCATCCTTCAAGTACGTTCATCACATCACTCTTCAGCGTATGTTTTGAGAATCCTGAAAATTTCCCATACAACTTCCCTGAAACAACAACAAAAAATTACGATCAATGACTTAACTATCAGATACCAAACGAAACACTTTCTTCCTTAAATTAATCGGTTCATCACTTCATCTTCAAAATGAGCTAAAGTCCCAAAAATCATAGCAATCTAGCTCCAACAAACATTCTACACTCTAGATCAATAAAATTGACACAACCTTCAGACGCAGGCTTCTTTACTCCGTCTACCGGAGAACCTCCTGGAGGCGGTGGTAACGGAGAGGAAGGAGGCTGCTCTGTGACGGTAGACAGACATTTCCGCGACTCATTAAGAAATGGAAGAGAGTTACGACTGATCACCGGATCCAAGTTCCGGAGGCTCAAACTCGATCTGATCGCGTTACGGATGATACTCATTTCTCGCCGGTAAATGTTTTTAGGGTTTTTCTCTACCAAGTCTCAGTGTGACGAAAAAAAAACAACGATGAAGATGCGAAATTGAGCCACATTCACTTAAAACGACAACGTTTTACGTATTTGAACAAAAAAGCCATTTAATTATTATTAGCAACCCATAATTCAAGACCAAGCCCAATAACAAACCCACTATATGAATAAAACACGTTCCACGTAAGTACGGTACATTACATTGGTTGAAGTAGTAGTAGAACATTAGCGGAAAACCATTTGAGTGAAGAAAAAAATTTGTTTCATTTGAATTAGAGTGAACAATTAGAGAAAAAACAACATTAAAATGAAAATTGTAATATTATTTAGGCAAATCAAAGGGACTTTCGCCATCGTAATTTCCACCAGGTGAATACTCGCAAACCACTAGGAATCCGCGGTCGTTGTCACACCTGACCCGTGCGCATCCAACGGCTGTGGTTGTACGCCAAATGATCTGCGTATAGTGACCGCACATCTTACCAGCTACACACGAGTTAGTCGTCCGATCATAGTGCAGGCTTTCATCCACCCATGTCGTAACCACTCTCTTCGGCGTCCAATTCATACCTCTTTTATACCAGAATATATTCTCTCCGTGTGGCCCACCTGAATGGGTCATTTGACAATCCGATTTACGTTTTTGGGCCCAATCAGATGCGAAACGGGCCAGGCCTTGATCCCATCTGAGACTCGACGCACCTGAAGCTACCCGCGCTACGTTGTGCGCGTTTAAAAACTCCATCGTTTGCTGCTTATTCCTTCTTTGTCTCGTCATCGCACGTGTAGATACGACCGGCGTGGGAGCTCCGGCGGCGGAGGGGACGTCGCCGGAGAAGAGGAAGAATAGAGAGGAGATGAAGAGGAAAACTTGACGAAGAAACAACGAAGACGACATTTCTCTCTTAGTCGTCTTCGTGTCTATCATTCATCAATCTCTCTGTTCTGTCTCAGGTTTTTTCTTTTTTACTTTGCAGAGATTCAGTATTCGGTTAGTGGTTTTTCCATATTCTGACAAACTTTCAACAGATTGTCTCATCTGTTCGTTTTCAGTTTTCTTTTTTAATTTTCTTAATTTTGTTGAAAAGAAAACGGCCATACAGAACATATGTAAGCTGAATTTGTTCGATTTTAATAGTGAAATAAAGTTTCAAAAATCTAACTAAATAATTTCGATACAATGTTATAACTCTAACCAAGCTAATAATAATACTTATGTCTCTTGATGAGAAGTCGACATGTTGTAACTGAAATATTCATTTTGTGGCTGTCGAGATTTTATACGGACGTTACAAATTGTTGTGTATTGAAGATGGAGAATGTCTAAAAGACAAAGTATTCGTGGGACGCACGTGTCATTGTGGATCTCTCTCCCTCTTTTTTCTCATAAGCTTTCTTCTTCATCCTCTGTTTCCTTGGTAGAAAAATAAAAAGAGAGAGGATCAAACGAAACAAATCAACAAAAGAAAATACAAATGACGATTAGGAAGACGTTGATCTGGAGAAATCTTCTTTTCTGGTACATCACACACACGTTGATTCCGGGTAACGTACACAACATTTTTCCCAGGGACCAAAAAAGCTTGTTTCCTTTTACCATACTTGTACCCATGTCTTCATGTTCTGTTTCCATAGAACGATTTGTGTGGGAGAATTTTCCATGAGGAAATCAAAGATTTGGAGTCTTTTTCCTTTGTTCTTTGGCCACAAACATATATCAATAATAGAAATGGGTTTATATCTTCGAAACTGCAGGATCTGTTAGATCACAAGTTATCACACTGGACTCCATAGAGATATTCACCAAGCATGACTGGTTCAAACTCAAACACACAGTTTACTTTCAATGCAAAGGAGAGAACAAGACTGTTCTTCCTGATGTTATCAAATCCGATACATTGTACACTTTCCGCGGTCAAGAATCATGGCAGGCAAGTTCCATTTTACATTTATTTATTACTACCATCTATTAATTAAGAGTAGAGTTGTAAGAGCTTAGATGTTTCTTCTATGTATGTTGCTTATTACACAGCCTATGACTGAGATCAGTGGCGAAAAGTGTAAGAGATGCGGAATCTATGAGCAAGGCAGTCTCATATCAGACAGAGAGTTTGATGAATGGGAGCTTTGTCCTTCAGATTTCTCAGCTAGCCAAATCTATATGCACTTTAAGGAAAAAGAGATCAATGCTACGTTTGTCTGCCACGGTTGTGCCAAGCTCGACTCCGGTGAGTAATAACCTTTGATTTATGTGTTTCCTCCTGTCGATATAAACAAAATTGATGAACAGAAGTAACAGATGTCGAATTGAAATGCAATAATGTGTGTGTGTGTGTTGTAGTATCTGCTGGAGCAACGACGGGTTCAAGTTCAAAAGAGGAGGGAGATAATGGGTCAAAAGTTGTGATAGCTATTGTGGCAGGGGTCTTGTGTGCAACTATTGTGGTGGTTGGAGGGGTTTTTATGTTTAAGCACTCTAAGAGGATGAAGCTGCAGCGAGATCAAGCCAGGTTTATGAAGCTATTTGAGGAAAATGATGAACCTGAAGATGAACTTGGACTTGAACCTGTGCTATGACACGGCCTTGAGCCGATTTTTTACACAGACTTTTTGTGTTTCATGAATTTTGCAGCTTATATTAGGGGGAAGAGGACTGACAGTAATTTTTGATATATGCTTTTCAAATAATTCCAAAATCTCCTAATACTATAAGGCTATTGTACTCATTGCATTCCACAATTGCACAGAGGGAACATTAAGGTATGCATTTTACCAAGAAAAGAAGTGACTTGGAACCTACCTTAGAGTTCATCGGGCAGTTAACTCGAGCTTGGACTACTTCTTATTGCACGGTTGAAATTATCTAGTTCTTTGGAATCTGAGCCATGTATTGTTTTAATGGTATCAATGCAGCAGCTGAAACGTAAAAAAGAGAATAATCAGTTTCTTCTCACATTTTAGTTTTCCACCAAGAAAATGAGTTGAAGAATCATTAATTTATCTTAGCAAGTTTATAAAGCTGACCCCAAAAGATTCTAGTAAGATTCATATATAGTTAGCTTCAGCACTCTAATCCTAAGAGCATGTGAAAGAGAATAATAATATGCTCTTGCAAGGGAAATGATAAGACCAACCAAAGAGGGGAACATTGATGATACCTGCAAGCTTCCTTGTTGAATTTCTTTTCTTCGATCCCGTAGAGAGTCTTGAAAACCTCTGGCTCTACCCGGCAAAAATATGGACGATCTGAACTCAGAAAACGTTCCAAAACATTTAAAAAAAAAAAAACTTGATCACTAGTCACTACACAGAGGAGAATTTGGGTAGAAAATGTTCAGCAATTAACGTTTCAGTCATCAATTAACATGTAAGAGATAAACAAATAATTTGCTAAGAAATTTACCAGCATAAATGGAGCATTTGCGTGTAGATTTTTCGTAGTTTATGCACCATCCATCATCACCAATCATGCTTCGATACAGCTATAGATTAAAGCATAACATGTTAACTTCAAAAGCAAAATTTCTCAAAGAAAAAAAAAAAAACTTCAAAAGCAAAATAAACAGAGGAAATTCATCGAACAAGTGGTGGGTGAAGAAACAAAACAGAACCTCAACATCATCAGGGTCGTCGAAGATTTCGTCAGGTGTGGCGAAAGCGAAGTCCTTTGCAAGCTTACAGCAAGCTCCACAGCCTTCTATGCATTGCCACGTCAGTTCCTTCGATGTTCTTCCCGAGAAACCGCTCGTCGTTGCCCGCTTCTTCTCGGGTTTGGTTGCGTTAAGTTGTGTGGCTTGGGACCGTCTCGTTGCAGAGATTATCGTCAAGGCCATTGGTGCCGTCGATAACGCAAGCGAAGGAAACATTTTTTTTTTTGGCGCAAAACTGAACCGAAGGTTTCCTCAAGATAAGAACCCATGTGAACATGTAAGAACTTTAAATGGCCCATTAAAAGCCTTTTTATACGGCCCATCTTATATTTATATCACAAACTGAGGTCATGGGAGCCGGACGAATAATTCAAAGTGTATTTACATTGTTTACAGTTCACTCAAATACACTACCACATTTTAAGCCATGTTATGAGAAATCACTAATACGGTAATACCATCTATTAAACTATATGTTCCGAGTGAGACTTATATCACTTAATTTTGTAACTATTGAAAATCAAAGTTGTGTAAGACAACTACGCAAAACTAACAAGTTTATAGAAGATAATAATGCATAAAGTAACACTTCAAAAGTTAAGTCTGAACTTTGATTTTTAAACTACAACTATGACTCTGAGTCTATGAGTGAGTAAAAGAAACAATTGCTTACACGACATACCGAATGTTTAAAATATGCGGATTGAAATGACCGACATTACCCAAAATTTGATTTTCTTATATGGAACAGTGAAATGTCTATAAAATATTATTGAATTTTACACCTTCATAATCATTATATTATACTACTATTTTACGTATTACTAATTACTTATCATTTTCAACAAGAAAGAAACAGCAATTGTACATTTTAATCACACCAAATTATAACAACCCCATTCTCATTAATTACTACTAATATTGCTTTCATTTTAAAACAAAACAAAAAAAGCAGTCATTACCTCCACCCCCACCACCACTAGTTGTCATATGTATTCTTTTTCTCCTTCTCTTCTATGAAAGTAAAATAATACCCCCCTGCCTCCCTTAATCATGCTCTTTCAACATTTCTTCTTTCATTTCCACTTATCTTTTCTTTAAATTCAAGCTTCACTTATTCCTCATCCTCTCTAAACCTTTAAAAAAAAACTCATATATACTACACATACACAATACAGAATCACCGGAGGAAAAAGGGTATTTATCACAAAAACACAACAAACAAGAGAAACTAGAGCTGAACATGAACTCAGTGTGCATCTCTAGCTGCATCGACGATGCACGTGACACACGCGTGCCGGTTCGTACCACGTATGTGAATCTCTATAAGTGGCCTGAGTCTGACGCAGAGTTCGTCCGCTCCGTCCGCCGTGGAGGCGGCGTACCTACGGCGCGTGTGGTGGATAGCATCTCATGCCGGCAGATGTATCTCCGAAGTTACACGTTCTCTAGGGAAGAAGATGAAGATAGGAGCAAAGCGGAGAAGGAACTGTCGTCAGCGACGCAAGGCTCGTGTCTAGGGAGGTTTAAAGAAACTGCCTCGTTCAGGAAGGGGAATAAGGAGGAAAGTGATGTCATCGTGGAGAAGTCAGAACCGGGTCGCCGTCGTGAGAAGAGGAGAGTTAGAAAGAAGAAGAAGAAGAAGAAGAGAGAACAAGCTTGTTCTGTTATGTTCAGGTTTTTTCGAAGGTTACTCTCTTGTGCTGCGACCGTAGATGTTGTTGATCCAAACTAGCTAAGTTCATGCATTACCTTCTTGTATTAAACTTTTAATTAATATTTGAGTTTTTTTTTCTTTGTTTTGTGAGTTATCTTACACTGGTTTATCTGCCTCCTACTTCTTTTTTTTTCTTTACTTTTGATTTTGTTTTGTATTTAAACTTGTAGTATAGAGAATTTTAATGGTATATCTTGGTTTTGTATGATTGTTTTGTAGTATATATAATAGATGATATTTTTTCATGCATGAGTATTTTGTTAACTTCAGGATGATAGAAAATAACAAAAATATATTGGTTGCGAGTTAAGTTTATTGTTAAAATCTTAATAACATTTTCGTGAAAAAGTAGTTATTTTGCAATGTTTTCAACAAAACCTCGAAAAAGTATATGAACTTCCCTTTTTTTTTTGGTACAAAAGTATATGAACTTGTTGTGACAATGTATTAATTCGCATTTACATATGATTTTCAAGAAATGTTGTCATAGTAAGTAGAAAAACCTTAAATAGGTGACTATAATGTTAGAATTGCATAAGATATGGAGCATTCTTACCCCTCCCCCCCCCAAAAAAAAAAGTCATATTGAAAAACTACTAGGCGGGGAATTCCAGCATCGGATCCCCATGGATTACTAAAGATGTGAAAAACAAATTCCCCGTAAAAGTGTAAAATAAAGTTGTTCAACACAAGTAAAAGAAGAATCGTAGCTAAAAACATATATTATTGTCCAAGTTGTTATATCTTTCAAATTAAATTACTAGATACCATATAGATGATTATGTAAGTGTTTCAAGAGTCAACTAACACTTCGTATATATAAATTTTAGCATAAATCATAGCACCCAAAAAAAAAAACTCAAATTCTGACGATGTAGGAATAGATAATCTCAATAAACCAATACATTTTCGTTTTCATAATATCGAATATTATTTAGGTAAGAAGTACCATGTTCATTCATTTTCCTTTGCAGTGTTAATAGTTCTATGCATATTCAGTCCCCAACATTCTTTGTGTCGACTCTGAAGAGAATGATATAAAGTATTCATTGAATTAAAATATGCGTCCCACTTAATTAGTTGGCATCGTCTTGCTTAATACTGGAAGAGTCAACAGGCCGTCGTTTTACAAACCGCATTATAAGATTTAGCTTACACAATCTACAAATCATAAATGATAAATAAATATATATTTGCCACACTTATATGAAGGTTGTTTACTGCATGATGGATAGTTTTAGTGGAACAATTCGAGGATTTAATATTCAAGTGCTTACCAAAATTCATGTCACGCCTGCTATGATTATTGATAAGTGGAAACTTAGAGAACCACACATAATCACGACCACACAAAAACTAAAATATGAAAACGTTTTGTCGTGTCATGAGTCTTTTTTCGACAGTGCTATTACGTGGAAGATAACCAAACTTGAATGTATTTGTTTCCTAATACTAAAAAACTAATACATCAGATATTTTTTTTCATATAGATTTTTGTTTCAAACTATTTTTTCCTTTAGTTTGTTATACAACATGTATAAATCGAATTCAGATAGATGTGGACAAGTTATGTCGCTTCATTTATACAATAATCATCTTTTTGTCAACATACAATAGTCATTATCAATCACATATACAAAATTTCCACCAAAACAAAATTTAAAAACAAAAAAACTGTGAAAAAATTTGGTTGACAAATTAATTAGAAAGGTAAATGCACATAAGTGGGTAACAAAACAACACACATTATCTCTAACGATCAATTAGTTAACAGGGAAATACGATTAATTAATTTTAGACTAGGCAATTAGCATTGATAATCAATCTTAAACACACAATTTTCACCAAAATAAACTTGAAAATAAGAAAGAAACTTTGGATAAATTTAATATTGACAAACTAATTAAAAAGCTAACTCAACATAAATCTGAATAGATTGAAACCGAATCCGAATGATACCGAACTATCAAACGATGGTATAAAGCTTCAAACTCTTAGTTAATAATTTCCGGAAGAAACAGAGATGGCGGCCAAACAATTCTTGAATAAATGTGGTTTTAAAAGCAATTATTGGATATAAAACTACAAAAGATGTATATAAAAAAAAATCATAATATTGCCATACACCAAACATGGCATGCTTGATTTCTGACGCTTAAGCTCGAAGACTCATCAACGAGACAGTATGTCGCCAGATTATAATATTATTCAACTATTCATCTTCGTTAGTTTATTATTTCGTTACAAATGTAATCATTTATAATCATTGCATAAATTTTTCACGTAGTCTGAACTCTGAAGGCCCTTGATTACCTTAGAAGAGTTAGTTGTGTAGCCTAGGTTATACAAAGCCAGACCCAGCTGATAAGTAATCCATTACATTTTTTTGTTACTTGCAACGTAATGTTCATGTAAAAAAGCTTATACAATGGTATATACTATTTTTTCCATTTCCTTACATATACAGAATCTGCACAAACAAAGAGATCTCTTTTTATTACTGGATACAAAAATCTCTCTGTTCTTGATAACTGCTCTTGCATTCACTTCAATCAAACCGCATAAAGCTTCCGGTTATGCTTGTGATCAACTAACTCAGCATCTGACATCATTGAAGCTGGAGACGACTTAGACCCTTCAATCCTATTAGCAACCACCCAATAACACATAGTCCCAAGCGTTGAAACCATGATCAATGCACCAATAGCTGTTATACCAATCGCTAATGGCCTCTCCTTATCCCCCACAACGACAAAAGACAGTGACAAGAACGCCACTGAGATCATAATGCAAGCCATCCACATCAGCTTGTTGATTATCGCCATCATTTGCTTCTTAGCTTTCCTCTCTATAACCACCACTGATGTCTGAACCACAACCACAGCTAAAGAGATGAACAGCGCGAAAGAATCAAACACTACAAAGATCAAGAACTCTGGTCTCGAAGCTGCTCTCGCTTCTCCTAGTGTAAACCCTGAAGGAACGTTTTTAGGATCGTCCGTGTACTGGCCTGGAACGTTGAAGATGGCTCCAAAAGCAACTGTTGCTATGAGAATGGCTACAACGGTTGTGGAGTTTATGGCGTTGTTGAGTCCTTCAGTGTGCATTTTGTTGACACGTTTACTGATTCCTTGGATCTCTCTTCTCGTTCTCACGGTTTGTTCGAGCTGAGTATGCACCTCGTGGCCTATTTCGCTGACTGTTTCTTTCAGTTTCTTAGAGGAGCCTGATGGTTCCACCCTTGCAGCTGGCTTGATGGATCTTGCGTTTTGCATACCGATCTTCTGAAGAAGCGGTACAATCTCATGCAGGCCGGTTTTCTCAGCTATGTCAAGAGATGTTTCTCCTGATTTATTAACCGCCACTCTACTCACTTCATCATACTGTAAAACTGTCTGAACAATCTGCAAATATTACAAGAAAATAGTCTTTACATTGTAACACTATCAACAACAATAAACCAGGAGCTCATTCTGTAATGTGTGATGTGTTTTGCATAAATTTTACGAAAACTAGAAAGACTTGTTTCAATTACCACATGATCTTTTGTGTGCTTTAATCTCAATCACACGACAATAGAATCATTTTCCGATAGGTCACACATCCGTTCACTAATATGCTTAAGTTTGAAATTCTTTTAAAAGTATAACCAAAATACCGAAGAACCAGCTCGAAACCGACCCAAAAATCAAGATCACAAATCCAAACGGACCGGGGTAAATAACCGAATGGAACCTAAATTGCTATATTGTAATCAAATAAATTCTTTTAAACTTTTTAACTTGTACAACAAACCAGGTTGTTACCGATTCTAACTTTGCAACGGTAATAACATACCTCAACTCTGTTTTTACGAACTGCGATATGCAGAGGAGTGTTGCCTTTATTATCCTCTGCATTAATCAACGAAGGATTAGCTTTCATCAACGCATCAACGATCTCAGTGTTCTGTCCTTTAACCGCCATATGAAGTGCGGTTTGACCTTTCTTGTCGACTCTTGTAACCATTCCAACTTTCTTCGCAATCAGCTCTTTAACAATCTCTGTATGCCCATTCCTTGCAGCAGAGTGCAAAGCGGTTTTACCGTTACTTCTCGCAATAGCGGCTAAGTCCACACCTTTCTCCAACAAGAAACAAACTATCTCTCCATGACCCTGAGAAGCAGCCGTATGAAGCGCTGTCGTTTTGGATGAATCAAATGTAAATGAAAGCTCTGGGTTTGCCTCCATTAACACATCAAGAACCTCTACAACCAACAAAGGACTTCACATGAATCCGAATGAACTGTGTGATCGTTGACTTAAAAGTAAAGATTCACATGGAAAAATATCTGAAAGTCAACTCACTTAGATTTCCGTTTTTGGCGGCGATGTGAAAGGCGTCGAAGCCGTTTTTGGCTTTGGTTCCGGCTAAGGCAGAGTCGGAGTGTTTCATCAGAATCTTAACCATGTCGGTGTGTCCGAACTCAGCCGCCACGTACAGAGCTGTTTCTCCTGACTGGTTTTGCTCGGCTAGCAACTCTTTCAGCTCTGCTCCGTCGTCGTGTTCGCCGATCATCTCTAAGAGAATCTCTGTTTTGCCTTCTCTAACCGCCGTGTGTAACGGTGTGTCGTCACGCCTCGTTGTTATCTGCTTAGTCATCGTCTTCTTGTAATTCTCTTTCATGGCGACGATTCTTGTTTAATTTTTAGGATTCAAGATTTGGACAAAGAAAAGGAAACAGATCAAAGAAGAGGGAATGAATTCGACAAGAGGCACATGAATTTTGGACAAGAAACAGAACTCTCTGCTCGTGGTTTTGGCCTCTTGTGTTGTTTCTTACCATAATATCTTCTCAATCATCTTATTACAATAACATTATCAAACCGACTTACTGTCGACTCGAAATAGTATATCATTCATTGCTCACTATTATTGATTTCCAATTTTAATTTTATACTAAACTGTTGTGAACTTTAACATCATAGTTAGTTTCAAATATATTGCAAATTGATCTAAAACATGTACTAAACTCGGTTTTATTTGGTTACTAATGATTGTTTTTTTTTTTTTAACGCTGAGTTCGAACAAAAGTACGAGGGAGTACAACAAAGATACGATAATAGCAAAAATGAGATGTCAGAAGACACCATCAGAAGGAAAAATCGTTAAAAAGGAGAAGGATAACCTATATACCCCCCACCTTCCTTACTGAGCCTCCAGGATGAGCAGATGATGTAGCCACGAAGGAGCATTCCGAGCGATATAAGACTGATGCCGCTGGTCTCGAGTGACGCTAAGAGCTATAGAAGAAGCAGCTTCATTTCGATCCGGAAGTGCGTGATTCAGACTCCATGAATCAATTCTAGCCAGAAGCCAGAAAATGCTGTGACGAATGTGGCTGTGACAAGGGGAAGCAGTTGGATTCGTAATGGCGTCATGGAGGCAATCAGAGGAGGTCTCGAAGATTATATTTGAGAAGTGTAGGTTGTGCAAACTTTCCACCGCCCAGAAGAGAGCCCACAAGTCAGCCTCGGTCTTTGTACGCATGTATGAATAAGCCCGACGACTATGCATGATTGTATTTCCTTTATCATCACGGAGAATCCAAGAAGCACCACTCGGGAGGTTTGGATTAGTCCACGAAGAACCCACATTACACTTTAGGGTACCATTAGGTGGTTTCATCCATGAAGCCTTACATACGCCAACGCCGTCAACTTGGTCTAAAGAATCCGAGAAAGTATCATACCATGTCGATTCCTCTTCATACGCCCTCTGAGCGACAAAGGAAGATTCAAGAACCTTATTCTTAAAAACAAAAGAATTTCTAGCTTTCCATATTTCCCATAACAACCATGGGAACACTTTTGCTGCATGTGTATCCCCAGAAGTGCTCTTAGAATACTTGAGTAAATGAAGAAAATTTAGGAACGTGGAATTCCTAGAGAACCCTCTGGTAGGAACTTGGACATTAGCGAGGTCCCATATATCACGTGCTCTAGCGCATGTGAACAAAACATGGCAAACGGTCTCATCTTCAACCCCACAAAATGGGCAAGTTGGATCTAGCGGAATACCACGTGTAGCTAAACGTTGTTTGACTGCCAACGCACCCGATAATGCCCGCCACATAAAATGTTTAATCTTTGGTGGAGCTTTTGTCTTCCACAAATCTTGCCATAATTTTTTTTCCAAAGGGGAGAGGGAATGGTCATGAGGATTTTCAAAATCCACCAAAGCCTCCAGTAACTTATAACCACTCCGTGTCGTATATGATCCATTGGGTGTGAAACCCCATCTGATAGAGTCGTCACTAACAATTGATGGTTTTAAAAGAAGAATCCTTTGAGCATCCTGACGCGTAAAAGTCTGATATAACAAATTAGTATCCCATTGATTAGTACCCGGCCGGAGAAGATCCGAAACTTTTAGCGCCAAATTGACAGAACTGTTATCCCGATACATTGGTGGTCGTGGGATAATGTCAATAATCCAGTTTTCAGCCCAAACATTGCTATCTGTGCCATTGCCAATATGTCGATATAGACCCTTNGATACTCCTCCAAGCATAAGACGGACGTGTCCCCATACCGCAATCTAAAAAATCCCCATTTTTATAATATTTACCTTTAAGGATCCGAGAGACCAAAGAATCCGGATTATTCCATATTCGCCAAGCTTGTTTACCAAGCAAAGCCTGATTAAACCGACTAATGTCCTGGAACCCAAGGCCACCCTGATCTTTAGGTTTATAAAGTTTTTCCCACGAAACCCAAGGAATTTTTCTTTTTTTGTCCCCACTGCTCCACCAGAACTCTATAATCGCCCTCGTAATTCGTTCACATAGACCTTTTGGTAACCGAAAGACTGACATTGCATATATCGGTAGAGCTAATGCTACTGATTTGATTAGAACTTCCTTAGCCCCCATAGACAGAGTTTTAGAGTACCAGCCCTGTAACCGTCCTTCTAATTTGTCCTTGATAAAATTTAAGAGTGCCTTTTTTGACCCTTGAAAACATTCAGGGAGACCCAAATACGAACCGTCACCACCTTCTTTTTCTATCCCCAGAACATCTTTGATTATCTGTTTATAAACATTATCTATTTTTTTTCCAAAAATGATGGAAGATTTGAAAGGGTTAATCATTTGACCAGACGCGTCCCCATAAATTTTTAATCCGTTTAAAATTTCTAGACTGTCACCAATAGATGCTTCACATAACAACAAGCTATCATCCGCAAATAGTAAATGGTGAACTGAAGGGCTACCCGCTGCTAACTTTATACCATGTAGTTTTCCTTGTGATTCCGATCTATTTAAAACATGAACTAAAGCTTCAGCACATAGAATAAATAGAAAAGGGGATAAAGGGTCCCCTTGACGAATGCCACGTTCGGGTTTAATGAACCCATGGGAACGACCATTGAGTAATACCGAAAAAGAGACCGTAGTGATGCAGGACATTAGCCAGACGATCCATTTTCTATGGAATCCCATTTTCTCTAATAAGACTTCCAGGAAATTCCATTCTACCCGGTCATACGCCTTAGACATATCTGTTTTGATAGCCATACAGGTTTGACCAATTTTATCATTTGTACGGAGCGCATGAACCAACTCATGTGCTATAATGACATTATCAGTAATTAGCCTACCACCCACAAAA